AAACATGAGACCCATATCCCTGCTCAATACGGACACAAAACTTCTCGCAAAAATATACGCGAACAGGGTATCACGCATGCTTCCCTCCCTAGTGCACGAGGATCAAGTTGGGTTTGTTGCAGGCAGACAGGGAGCGGATGGCACAAGGAAACTGCTAGATCTATTGTGGAGCGCGCGGAGGGGGAGGAGACCCAGTGCATTTCTGTCACTTGATGCTGAGAAAGCATTTGATAGGCTTCACTGGGGCTTCCTCTCGGCTGTCCTCGAAAAATTTAACTTCCCCCCGAGATTTATGTCCCTAGTCTCAGCATTGTACTCCAAACCGAGCACCAGAGTAGCGAACAGCGGATTCAGTTCCACAGAGTTCCAAATTACAAATGGAACGAGGCAGGGCTGTCCCCTGTCCCCCTTACTCTATGTCTTGGCACTGGAGCCTCTGGCACATCTCATATGCCACGACCCACATATCCGAGGAATTGAGGCAGGCAAAACTGAACATAAGATCACAATGTTTGCAGATGACATAATGATATCACTCACGAAACCACACACTTCACTGCCAAAGGTCGCAAACTACTTGCTGTCATATAGCACCTGCTCATACTACAAATTAAACGTCACCAAAACAAAAGCAATGCACCTTTTCATGCCAGACCAGACACTCAGCACTTTAAAAAACACATATGCATATCAATGGGATAACAACAATCTTACATTCCTAGGCGTACACTTCCCAACCAATCCTCAACATTTATTCCAAGCCAATTATGACGTGTTGGCCAAAGAAATTAAGCAAAAGTTATCCACCTGGCAAGGGAAATATGTTTCCTGGCTAGGCCGCATAGCAGCTACAAAAATGATTCTCTTACCCAAATTACAATATCTATTCCGCACTCTGCCTATCGCACTCCAACCACATTACATCGAAACCATGCAAAAACTGTTCAGTGACTATATTTGGAATTACAAAAAACCTAGGACAGCAGCCGCGACACTTTACAAACCCTTTAAAGAGGGAGGTTTGGCTGTCCCCAATATAGGCAAGTACTACATAGCATCACAACTGAACCCATTAATCTCCGCATGCTACACCAAGACCCGACCGACCTGGCTCAGCATAGAAGCACAATTCACTGATAATCATGCACTCACAGAACTAATGTGGCTCCCACGGCACACAAGACCCAAACACAACCACATGCTACCTACCACGTCCCTAACTCTTGCTATGTGGGACACATATCAGAAAAGACACAAAGACTACCTGTCCATCTCGCTAACAACCCCTATCATGGCAATAGCGACTTTATTACCTACTTTCTCCGCGACCATATGGACCGCGTGCGGAATATACCAAGTACAACAACTCCTAGCTGGCCAAAAAATACACACGTTCCAACATCTTCAAACCACATTTGGACTACCCAAATCCGCCTTTCTCACCTACCTCCAACTAAAGTCCTGGCTCACAAAGCAACTACCTATAACGACTTCTGCAAAAGACAAAACAACACACCTACATACACTACATCTTACAGACCTTTGTATCCAACAAAAAAAAAACCCCAAAGTCATTTCTACAATATATGCACTCCTCACAAGACAATTGCCCACTGGGAAACCCTCCTTTGTCAAAGCATGGGAGGCAGACTTCCAAAAGACACTGGACCAAAACCAGTGGACAAAAATTTACTTAGCAAACAAGACGCTCACCCTATGCAATGCACACATTGAACTAACCAGAAAGGTCCTCTACCGATGGTATATGGTACCTGCAAAACTCAAACACATAGACCCAAACAAGTCAGACTTATGTTGGAGATGTAAAATGGCCTCCGGAACTATGTACCACATATGGTGGACGTGCCAAAAAATCACAAGATTTTGGGAAACAGTGGGGCTACTAATTAAAGACTCAACGACGGTAACAATCCCATTAAGCCCGGAGATATATCTTCTCCAACTCCTTCCAATGGACATGACAAAAGCTGCAAAATACTTAACTTACCACGTATTGGTAGCAGCCCTATCTACCATCAGTAGAGCTTGGCTCTCTGAAGCTCCTCCTGACATAACTTCATGCATCCAGATAATCCAAACCACCAAGACATATGAAATTATGGCTAGACAAACTAGACCCCTCAAACCGTTCTGGAGGGAAGCTTGGAAGCTTTGGGACTCAAGCCTACTTAAACAGGAGACCCTGTCTATGTCTAGAGCCACACGCTCCCCACCTACACATCAGGGGACCAAGGCCACCTAAGGAACAATACAGCTAAATGCACCACACACCTCAACCACATGGCATATGGAGATCGAAAGCCAATCCCGCCCCCCCCCCTTTCCATCCTATGTTACTTCACTTCCCTTCCCCCGAAGTTCGGTATTAAAATGAGTATAATGCATAGGTCAAGCGGCAATTGCGCAGCCACCCGAGCTGCACGACAAAACAGTGGGGCCTAAAGTAACACAAATGGAGCAGATCACAGAATAATTGAGCAACGACACATTGTGAATGAGCAAACTGAAGATTATGCAAACCCCATGCATTTGGCTCACCCAATTGTGAACTGGGCGACACACTGTGCCGCACTCTCCACTCTAACTGCAAATCTCTTCCCCTTTCCTTATTAGGACATAACGTGTTACTTCTAACTACCACACCCATTGTCTTGTTGTCTCATTATCTTGTTGTCTCATTGTTGTCTCACTTCTGTAACTCATGTAACCACTGATGCATCTGTATCATGCGTAACTTTTGTAACAACTGTACCCATTGTTATCCACTTGCCTTTTTGCTGAATATAAACTCAATAAAAAGATTGAACATAAAAAATGATAAGCTTAGAGTCATGTCTACAAATGCTCACAGTTTAGGGAAAAAGATCCATGAACTTTTGGCAATAGTGGCAACTGATAGTGTAGATTTAGTTGCTGTTACTGAGACATGGTATAATGAGAAAAATGACTGGGACATAGCAATACCAGGGTACTCTTTATGTAGAAAAGATAGGGAAGTCAAGAAAGGGGGAGGGGTGGCCCTGTATGTGAAGGATAGCATACAATCTAGCTTAATAAAAGTTAGTGAGGAAACATAGAGTCTGTTTGGGTTATGTTAGAATTTGGTAATCACACAGTAACTCGTGTAGGTGTGATTTATAGGCCCCAAGGACAAATTGAAGAGTTAGATAATCTACTAGTTGAGGAAATAGCTAAAATGACAATGAAGGGGGAAGTTATCATCATGGGTGACTTTAATCTTCATGATGTAAATTGGAAAACAAAATTAGCTACTTGTGCCAGGAGCACACATATTCTAAACTCTCTACTGGGATTGTCTCTAAAACAAGTTGTTGAGGAGCCAAGTCGTAAAGAGGCCATACTAGATTTAGTGTTAACAAATGGAGATTTGGTATCAGATATTACTGTAGGTGAAAGTTTAGGATCCAGTGATCATCAGTCAGTGTGGTTTAATATAAGAACAGTGACTGAGTCACACCATACAAAACCAAAAGTTTTACACTTTAGAAAAACCAGACTTTTCTAAAAATAGAATATGTGTAAATGAGTCATTATCAGACTGGAGCAATTTAAATGGAGTCCAAGACAAATGGGATTATTTAAAAGTTGCACTATTGAAGGCAACAGAAAATTGCATTGGGCTTGTCAGTAAAGCAAAAAAAAAAGAAACCACTGTAGTACTACACAGATGTGGCCAAAATAGTAAAAAAAACAAAAATTTAGCATTAAGTAATTATAAAAAAGCCTAGAGTGAGGAAGATAGACAGCTCTATAAGATTAGGCAGAAAGAGGCTAAGCAAGTTATAAGAGCTTCCAAATCACACACAGAAGAGAAAATGGCACAGTCAGTAAAAAAGGGGGACAAAACATTTTTTTTGATACATAAATGAGAAAAGAAAAGTAAAACAAGGATTAGTTAGATTAAAAACAAAAGAAGGAAGGTATGTAGAAGAGGATAAAGGTCTAGCTGACTGCCTCAATGAATATTTTTGTTCTGTATTTACAGATGAAAATGAAGGAAAGTGACCTCAGTTGAGAAAAAGGATAAATGAGTCATTTATTACACATGAGTTTACAGAGGAAGAGGTTCTATTTCAACTGTCAAAAGTAAAGACAAATAAGTCAATGGGACCTGATGGAATACACCCAAAGCTATTAAAAGAGCTTAGTGGTGTACTAGCAAAACCATTAACAGATTTATTTAACCAATCATTGTTAACAGGAGTAGTCCCAGAAGATTGGAAGTTAGCGAATGTTGTGCCCATTTACAAGAAAGGTAATAGGGAGGAGTCGGCAACTATAGGCCAGTAAGCCTTACTTCAGTAGTGGGGAAAGTGATGGAAACCATGTTAAAGGATAGGATTGATGAACATCTAAAAACACATGGATTTCAAGATCAGAGACAACATGGGTTTACTTCAGGGAGATCATGCCAAACTAATCTTATTGATTTTTTTGATTGGGTAACTAAAATTATAGATCAGGGTGGTGCAGTAGACATTGCTTACCTAGATTTCAGTAAGGCTTTTGACACTGTTGCACATAGAAGGCTTATCAATAAACTGCAATCTTTAAGTTTGGATTCAAATATTGTTGAATGGGTAAGGCAGTGGCTGAGTGACAGGCAACAGAGGGTTGTAGTTAATGGAATATATTCGAAGCTTGGACTTGTCACCAGTGGGGTACCTCAGGGATCTGTACTTGGACCCATTCTCTTTAATTTTTATTAGTGATATTGCAGAAGGTCTTGATGGTAAGGTATGTCTTTTTGCTGATGATACTAAGATATGTAACAGGGTTGATGTTCCAGGAGGGATAAGCCAAATGGCAAATGATTTAGGTAAACTAGAAAAATGGTCAGAATTGTGGCAACTGACATTTAATGTGGATAAGTGCAAGATAATGCATCTTGGACGTAAAAACCCAAGGGCAGAGTACAGAATATTTGATAGAGTCCTAACCTCAACATCTGAGGTAAAGGGATTTAGGGGTGATTATTTCTGATGACTTAAAGGTAGGCAGACAATGTAATAGAGCAGCAGGAAATGCTAGCAGAATGCTTGGTTGTATAGGGAGAGGTATTAGCAGTAGAAAGAGGGAAGTGCGCATGCCATTGTACAGAACACTGGTGAGACCTCACTTGGAGTATTGTACACAGTACTGGAGACCGTATCTTCAGAAGGATATTGATACCTTAGAGAGGGTTCAGAGAAGGGCCACTAAACTGGTTAATGGATTGTGGGATAAAACTTACCAGGAAAGGTTAAAGGATCTTAACATGTATAGCTTGGAGGAAAGACGAGACAGCGGGGATATGATCGAAACATTTAAATATATTGTAACGGACCGTTTTGCACACAAGGGGTAAAAACCGTTTAGGCGATCGGCCCCCTTTCCAGAGATCCAGGCACAGCTACTGCAGAACACCAAAACTCACGAACTGGATACAAAATAGCACTCCAACTCCCGAACTGGAACCTCCCAAATAGCTGCTAGCAGACGAACAGGAAAAGCCCAAGCCGCTTACACTCCTGGCAATCAGTCCTCTAGCAGCATACAGTAATCCCCCCAAGAACGAGACAAGGCTCCGTGTTGAGGGTCAAGCAGTGGTCTGAGGTGCTGGCACACCCAGCCTGGTTTTTATTACAGTGTTTCAAATACAGGACCACCCACAGGGAGGGATAAAACAACCAATCATATCACAGTTACATCCCACATATTCCCTCCCCTTATCCTGAGAGGAAACTCAATTATACAAACAGTTAAAACATACTTTCTACCCAACTTTCATAACTCTAAAACCATACATCACATTCACATAAAATTACATATTTCAATCAATCCATTCAGGGGAACAACATATTCAAAAATGGCACAAATCAGACAAGGGGTTCAAAAGTTAGTAAAAAGTCCTTTGTGACTAAATGAAGCATGGCTTTCTGGCCCAAACCAGTTTCAGAGTCTTCTATCCTGGAGATAAGTAATTCAATTATCTCCCAGGACAGACACAAGACTCCATTAAGCACATGGTTGCAAAAAGACACAAAACACTTTAAAATACATAAAGTCACATTTATACATAAAACACAGACATTTCACATATCCCCAGATAGCTCAGGTCTGAGCGCACATTATTAAGTGAATGGCGCTCGGACCACACAAATACAGTTTAATCACCATGGAGCCAAAGTCTTTACAGTCAGTTTCATACGAATGGGCTCCATGGGATTCCCATCTGGGGTATAACACATTCAAACAAATCTACTGAAACTCAGGCAGAAAAGCACGACTGAAGCTTTTCTGCAGGTAAAAAAGATGTCTTTTAACAGGGGGCCATAGTCCAAAGGCAGCAGGCGAGTAACCAGGCTTCTCCAATGCAATGTGGCGAGATTGGTCTCGTCACATCTCTCCCTTTTTCCAAACAGACTAACAGGGTATCTGACCTCCTGCCGGTCAGTGCCCTTGTTAGTCCAGCAGCCCACCCACAAAACATAATCAACAGCACAGCCCACCCACAATAAATGGTTACTGCACCTGGGTAGAGGAGAAGCTTGTCCATGTCCAGGTGCCTCACCATGGCTGTGCTGGGTACGGGTACACTGACTTGGTGGGTTGCTGCGTGGGCAGAGACCAGCGGCACTCTGCCCTGTTGCCAGCGCTACTGGGAGGGTAGCCTGGTTGAAGCCTGGTTGTTGGAGGGGAAGACCGACTGTCTCCCCTTTAACTACACCGCTCTGCTGCTGGAGACCGACTGTCTCCCCTTTTGTTGCACAGCTCTGCTGCTGGAGGGGGAGACCGACTGTCTCCCCTTTGAATACTCTAAGCTGTCGCTGGGGAGAGGGGGTAACAGGCTCCTCTCCCGCTAGAACACTCAGCCGCTGGGGAAAGGAGACTGAGCTCTCTATTCCCTGCCCATTAATGATCCGCCGCTGGGGAGAGGTGGTAGCAAGCTCCTCTCCCATACATACTTTCATCCTCTGTGGAGGGAGACCGACTGTCTCCACTCCCAATACAGTGTCCTGCTGCTGGGGAAAGGAGACTGGGCTCTCTATTCCTGGTAGGACACTCTGCCGCTGGGGAATGGAGACTGGGCTCCCAATTCCCAAAGCATCATACTGCCGCTGGGGAATGGAGACTGGGCTCCCAATTCCCAAAAAATCACGCTGCCGCTGGGGAGGGAGGACACTGCTCTCCTCTCCCTGGACTTCACTGCCTTCCCGGCATATCACTTGGCTGCTGGGGGGCAGGAACAACTACCTCTGCCCCCTGTAACTCAGCCTGCCGCTGGGGAGGGAGGACACTACTCTCCTCTCCCTGCACTTCACACTGCCTTCCCGGCATATCACTCTGCTGCTGGGGGCAGGAACAACTACCTCTGCCCCCTGTAACTCAGCCTGCCGCTGGGGAGGGAGGACGCTGCTCTCCTCTCCCTGCACTTTACACTGCCGCTGGGGAATGGAGACTGGGCTCCCAATTCCCGGCATATCACACTACCGCTGGGGAATGGAGACTGTGCTCCCAATTCCCTGCATATCACACTGCCGCTGGGGAATGGAGACTGGGCTCCCAATTCCCTGCATATTACACTGCCACTGGGGAATGGAGACTGGGCTCCCAATTCCCTGCATATCACACTGCCGCTGGGGAGAGGAGACTGGGCTCTCTCTGTCCCGCAACTGTAGCTGCCGGTGGAGGTCCACCCACCGTGGCAGCTGACCGTCACCCTCTGCCCGGTACAGCAGAGTCTTGAATACTAGACTCCTCACGAACTTCCCGGATTTCTCAGCTGGATTAGGCCCGTAGAAGTTCAGCCGCAACCACATCATACGGTCAAATTCCTGTACAGAGTATCTGTACTCCACTGCTGGTTCCATTCTGTTGCTGTCAGGGTCGCTGTACTGAGACATGTGTTGCCCTCAAATTGTAAAATCCACAGAATGGTGTCTCCTGTAGCTGTCCTTCTGGCTGTAGGAACGATCCCGCCGCTTGCCACCAATTGTAACGGACCGTTTTGCACAAAAGGGGTAAAAACCGTTTAGGCGATCGGCCCCCTTTCCAGAGATACAGGCACAGCTACTGCAGAACACCAAACTCCCGAACTGGATACAAAATAGCACTCCAACTCCCGAACTGGAACCTCCCAAATAGCTGCTAGCAGGCGAACAGGAAAAGCACCCAAGCGGCTTACACTCCTGGCAATCAGTCTCTAACAGCATACAGTGAATCCCCCCAAGAACGAGACAAGGCTCCGTGTTGAGGGTCAAGCAGTGGTCTGAGGTGCTGGCACACCCAGCCTGGTTTTTATTACAGTGTTTCAAATACAGGACCACCCACAGGGAGGGATAAAACAACCAATCATATCACAGTTACATCCCACATATTCCCTCCCCTTATCCTGAGAGGAAACTCAATTATACAAACAGTTAAAACATACTTTCTACCCAACTTTCATAACTCCAAAACCATACATCACATTCACATAAAATTACATATTCTCAATCAATCCATTCAGGGGAACAACATATTCAAAAATGGCACAAATCAGACAAGGGGTTCAAAAGTTAGTAAAAAGTCCTTTGTGACTAAATGAAGCATGGCTTTCTGGCCCAAACCAGTTTCAGAGTCTTCTATCCTGGAGATAAGTAATTCAATTATCTCCCAGGACAGACACAAGACTCCATTAAGCACATGGTTGCAAAAAGACACAAAACACTTTAAAATACATAAAGTCACATTTATACATAAAACACAGACATTTCACATATCCCCAGATAGCTCAGGTCTGAGCGCACATTATTAAGTGAATGGCGCTCGGACCACACAAATACAGTTTAATCACCATGGAGCCAAAGTCTTTACAGTCAGTTTCATACGAATGGGCTCCATGGGATTCCCATCTGGGGTATAACACATTCAAACAAATCTACTGAAACTCAGGCAGAAAAGCACGACTGAAGCTTTTCTGCAGGTAAAAAAGATGTCTTTTAACAGGGGGCCATAGTCCAAAGGCAGCAGGCGAGCAACCAGGCTTCTCCAATGCAATGTGGCGAGATTGGTCTCGTCACATATATAAAGGGAATCAACACAGTAAAGGAGGAGACTATATTTAAAAGAAGAAAAACTACCACAACAAGAGGACATAGTCTTAAATTAGAGGGACAAAGGTTTAAAAATAATATCAGGAAGTATTACTTTACTGAGAGGGTAGTGGATGCATGGAATAGCCTTCCAGCTGAAGTGGTAGAGGTTAACACAGTAAAGGAGTTTAAGCATGCGTGGGATAGGCATAAGGCTATCCTAACTATAAGATAAGGCTAGGGACTAATGAAAGTATTTAGAAAATTGGGCAGACTTGATGGGCCGAATGGTTCTTATCTGCCGTCACATTCTATGTGTCTATGTTTCTATGTTTCTAAGTAAACTCAGGAACAAGCAAAATACCAAAGAAATATCCCCCCCCCCCCCAGCAACTGGACGACACACAGTTCTGGGAGTACAACTGAAGTTTATTGTCACATACACGGCTTTTATGCCCAGTCCCATGCAAGGGGTTTTACACAAAATAATGCAGGGGTTTCAATCTCAGAATCCTCTGTGCCTGAGAGATAATTTCCTAAGAAAACTACTACTTTACTTATCTCCCAGGTACAGAAAATCCAAATAAATATCCGGTACCCCAAATGTACCTCAACCATACCCAAGAACCCCAACGAAACGTACGTTCCCGATAGCCCCGATCTGAGTGTCCAACATATTGGCCAGACACGAGGCGCTAGCCCAAAACAGTTTCAGGGAAATAGGTGCCCTGGCTGTTCTCCGTTTGTGACGTTCTTGTGCGGGAGTTCCATATGAACAAACTGTTGAATGGTTTCCCTGGCTCATAGGTAGCGATTGTTTGCCTAGTTAGTGCGAAAAATCCTACAGAACAGAGCTTTCCTGTCATGTTGGGAAAAGAAGAAGGCATTCGTATTAAATTACCGGTTTTAATGAGGTTGAGTGTCCTATTTATAGTTAAAGACACTCGACTGCCTGCCTTCGTGCGACAAGATGGCCGCCGTTTTCTCCAGCACATGTTGTTCGGTTTAAGTTTGTGGTTAGTTTGTAGCTAATGAGCCAGGGGAGTAGTCGGTGTTCAGTAGATTGTAGCCTGCGAACTGGGGAAATGTATTTGTGTTCGGAAAACTTTATACCATGAACTAGGAGGGAAATGTCTTGCGAACAGATCTCTGGAACAAAGGTAATTTATAATGATCTCTGGACTGAGGCATCTTACTTCTTCCAAATGAAGAAGTTT